TACTGTACTGGGGTGGACTGAACTTGACTGTACCACCACCACCACCACCGCCGCCACCACCACCCCACCACCACCACCACCGCCGCCGCCACCACCACCACCACCACCACCACCACCACCACCCGTACCATCAGCCGCAGCAGAAGCTGCAACAGCAACAACAGCAACTGCAATAACAACAGCGACAATATCATACAACGACAAAAACATCAATTGTAGCACTAGCATGCACTAGCACCAACAGCAGCAACTGCAGCAGCACCACCACCACCACCGTCGCCGCCGCCGCCGCTGCCGCTGCCGCTGCCGCCGCCGCCACGAGTGCCGCCCACCGCCCCCACGCCGCCCCTACCACCCCCCCCACCAGCAATACTACAATCCACCGTCATCCTTCACCTCCCTTTCTTCTTCTTCTTTGTCTTGCTGCTGCTGTTGCTGATGTCAACGATCCCACTGGGGCCTCTTTCGCCTCCAGGATGTCTTGCCAAGTCACTGCGCCTTCCTCACAAAAAAGAAGCACCAATGCTTGAGGGTGGCTGGGTCTCAACAATGCTTTACATGGGGGTTATATAGGGTTTAGGGTTAGCCATCCCAGTTCGGTAAGCGGCACATACAGCCAAACTCAAACGCGACATGACTTTTTGATGAGAGCGATGCATGGATTACTCAGCGTCACCTATATAACTTGCTCTGGAACAGGATTTCTGAAGAATCTTGCCCTAGAAGTAGCAAGGCAAACGCTGCGATCACTACCCTCTTCACCAGACCTCTACGTCGGTCAGCTCGCCAGAAGAAATCATTCTCCTGTCCCAGGCCGCTTCAGGCGCGGGGCTGAGATGCCCAAGGAATTAGAAGTCATGTACATCATGCAAACACTGACACCCAACATCACCCAACCATGAGGGTGCTTGCCACAAGTCTTCACTCAACAGATTGAACCTTTGGAGAGCCATAGCATGACCTTCTTCACCAGACGCCATTTGGATAAGGTGCCCGTCTGCGCTCCTATTTGCTGTCCGAAACAATGTCCAATAGAATTGTGAACTACTCCCGCTGGTAACTACATCCTTCTTGTGGCCGAGCGTGCTGTAGATGACATCTGCGTTCATTCCGGACTGACGGTGGGTCAGGTATTCTTAGGAACTCGTGTGTTTCCATTCTGACAACGGGCCCTCGCAACAGTGCTTTGCGATTCTTCACGCACAAAACACCTGGAACAAGACCCAATGGAGACGCATCATGTCTCCAACCCGAAGACAGCACCACACCCGCTGCCACTAAGCCTTTCCCCCGCTGCCTAGCAAGCTGTAGAATTGAGTCACGCGTGACCCCGGACCTGGCGGGGTTGACGATTCCAAGCTGCTTGGGGGGTTGCTGCAACCGCTTAAGTGTTTCTCACAAGTTTGTTGTGAGAATCCTGGAGAGATCTTGGTCTACACAGGGATTTCGGGACTTTGAGAGGCGCATTCCATCACAGCTTTTGGGGCAAACCTCTAAAAACTTGAGACCACTTCAGGGTACCTCCAGCTTCGCAACTTTTTTCAGTTTGGCGTTCTTTCCCATGCGTAAGAGTTAGCGAAAGCCCGCGCAAGTATGGAATTCAGGGACGTCCAGGCAGACCCTGTTCCAGACCAAGCATCGCGAGACCAACCAGAAGAAACATGGGCATAAAATTCTTTGAGCTGTAGTCTAAACTCCTAGCATCCCCCTGAAGAACCAATACAGTCCTGCATATAATCCCCTAAATCACCCCCCATAAGGAGTTTAGATTATGGCCCTTTCCTGGGCTGCCACACAGGATGGTACCCAGCTCCGGCGTCTTCAGGACTCCGTCCTGGCATCTCCGAACTACATCTGCAAGGGATAAACCCATTCTGCCACCCCAGGTAAGCCATTTCTGCAAAATCGACCACTCACCACAACTCGGCCCATGTCACGTACGGAACTCTTGCGACTACTACTAAGTTTTGCGTCGGGACTGAAAAGTCCCAATGCTCTAGAACACGTGCAGCTTCAAGTACATTATAGCATATCATGGTATATCATAGTATATCATAATATACATTATAGTATGTTATGGTATATTAATATGTTATGGTATATTCCTGGTAGCAGATTAGAGCTCTGCAGATCATCGCAAAACAACTACGCCTGCGGGCCGCCCGCGGACAGAAGATGACCATGAGACAGGCCAGTCAAAGAATCCCAACACCGCCCGGACACCCCCCAAACCCTAAACCCAAAACCCCAAATAGTAGTTTCCATTCTCTCTTCCATTATCCCAATACAACCCCAATATACTATATAGTAGTTTCCATTTTCTTTTCCATTATCCCTATAAAGCCCCCATATACTATAGCAGTTTCCATGTTCTTTTCCATTATCCCAATATAATCCCCATATAACCCCAATAGAAGGTCCCCGCCCTCTTGCAAGGCTGTGCCTCTCAGCTCGGCCTTGCTTAGCAAAATTCTTGCAGAAGGGCCCCTGGCCGTTGCAGTCCTGCGTGATGCAGAAGAAGTTGCTCGCCGCAGCCTCACTTTCAGGGGCATCCCTCCCATCATTGCCATCAAATGCAGTACTGCTAGGTGTCCTAAATCCGTCCTCTGTTCTTCTAGCTGCGATGGGCATGCAACCATGAGAGCCAGCACCGGCAGGCGCTCTATGACTTATGCAACAGAACCTTGTAAGATATGTTGGGCACGGACAGGACGCAAAACTCAGCTGGCAAGAAAAGGGCGGCAGCTAAGCAATAGAAGAAGCTGTACACATCGTGATATACAGCCCAGGTGGAACCTGCAGAACTAAATGCTGATGACCCTCCCATGAACCCAAACTTTGCAAAGTTACTGGCTGGGATACATTTGAGGACCTTAAGAAATTATTTGTTTGGCTTGATGGAGGGGTACATATTGATTCTGGCCTGCTTTCATCAGAAAATTATTCCCAGGAATACTCCAGCCTCTTCTACTCGCTCGCCGCTGGGATCGAAGTAAAGTATGTCGGAGAAGCCTCTCAAAGATGAGCAACTAAATAGTAGTGTCCATCTTCTTTTCCAATACCTCTACATATTTTGTATCTCTATCTAAACCTTTGTAGCCCTTACAACCCCTTTAAAGGGACCCTATGTAGCAGGATCGAATTGAACGCGAGTATTTGATGACTCAATGCTCAAGCTCGCCAAACAACGCGTAGCAAGCCGACCATTTGTCTGCAACGCAGCATGCAAGGGTTTATGGCCAAGTTGACTGCTGCGACACATGTTCTGACATTTTTTGGCAAGCGTGTTAGGCCTTTGGCGCTTCGTGGCAGCAGTGTGTGACTGCAATTTGGGCACTTGATGGGAGGAGCAGAAGCGAAAAGCTAGAATCCGTCGGCTACTCCTAGAGCAGTGAAGCTCAACTTATGTCTCCCAAGTCCGCCCCTGGAAGACACACAGCAGCAGACCGCTCTTGCAGACAAGATCTGAGCTGAGCCCATGGTGGCTAAAACTTTTGTTGAGACCTTCAATTCCGTGGAACATGTGCTCAGAGCTCGCGTTGCTGCTGTTAGGGGTTCCCCCAAAGCTCAGGCGGTAGAGGTGCCGGCACGCGTCGCCGTGAAGTTTGTGACTGCATCCAGGGCTTGCATGGGGTCCTGCAATAAGCTGATAAGGTCAAAGGTTTGGCACTGGCGCGGGATCTGCGCCCCTAGCTTCGGTACGCAACAATTCCTCTACCATGTCACATCATTTTGCTACAGCACTCATTGGTACACAGTTCAAACTCAGTGAAGTAAATCGACCTGTGCCCTCAAGATCCTGCACCGCACCTGGACATTCCCATGGACTTTTAAGGATGCAAACTCTCTGAAGATGTCCTTGGCGTCTCTTAGCTGCATCAGCAGGACCTGCAGCTCACAAGCATTAAGGCCACACTTCGAACGCTCCTCTGGAGGGTAAGGACTGCCAGTGTCCTGGAGCCTTCAGCTCTGGCATGTAGGTTATTACAACAGCCTGGGTCAAACATGTAAGACTAGGAATCCAGGCTGCTGATGCAAAGCTCGGCTAGGGTTGGGTAAGGATTTGTGTGGACAGCAAGTGCGGGACTGCTACACCTTTCCTGCAACGTAGATTATAGGGAGGAATACAATATCCCACATTCATCCGTTTGGGAGCCATGCATGCTTGCATGTGCATGCTACACACGCGTATACATATCTGCATCCATGTCTGCGTCTGGCTGTCAAAATCTAATCCCCTTTTGGTTCTCCAGTATACTGCAACCCACGATTTGCATATGGTACTCAAAACAACCATACTTTTGACAACCCTCCACACGTACACCCTCAGTCTCCATTTGTCAGCGCACCGCGCTTCCTCCAAAATGTTTACATTGAACAATTATGTCTTTATCTGTTTAAGCACACACAC